GATGTTTCTAACTCTCTATCTCTCTCCTTTCCTCTCTGTACAAAATAAATTAAAAAAAAAAAGACCATATGATTTCACTCATTGCTTTTAGATATAAAAATAAATGCAATAAATTAATAAATAAGGTAAACAACCAAACAAAAACTGACAGACACAGACAACAGTATGGTGGTTACCAGAGGGAAGGTGATGGAGGGTAGTAAAGGGTAAGGGGGTCAAATGCATGGTGACAGAAGATGATTTGACTTTGGGTGGTTGGAGCACAATGCAATGTACAGGTGATGTATCATAAAAATTTACACTTGAAACCTATCTTGTTAACCAATGTCATAACAAATTTAATAAAAAAGTGGCATCATCTGATTTATTAAAATAAACAAAAAAACCTTGATATTTACAATGGAGGATTAATCAAAAGGAATAAGAAAGCAAGCAGGAGAAACAATAGGAGGATGCTTCTGAGATCCATGTGAGAAATTTTGTATCCTGATCAAGGAAATGGGGATAAACTATTGGATATTTCTACCTCTATTCCTAAAAAACAGGGTCAGCTGATCAGCTTAATGTCATGATTATTATAATCTGCTCATTAAGTAAAGCCCTATCCTATCTAATAAAAGAGTAGTATGCAAGTTTTCTGTCACATCAAGACACAAAATGGTGGCCCCATGTAGCCCAAAATGGCTGCTCCCAGGTGGACACAAAATGGCCACCACAAGATGGCTGGCAGGGGAGGGCAGTTGAGGGTGACCAGGTCGGCAGAGGAGGGCAGGGAGATCAGGCCAGCAGGGAGGGCAGTTGTGGGTGATCAGACCAGCAAGGAGGGCAGTTAGGAGTGACCAGGTCAGCAGGGGAGAGTAGTTGGGGCAGACCAGACCAGCAAAGGAGGGCAGTTTTGGGGGGACCAGGCCTGCAGAGGAGGGAGTTGGGGGCAACCAGGACTGCAGGGAGGACAAATAGGGGTGACCAGATTGGCAGGGGAGGGCAGTTAGGGGTGACCAGGCTGGCAGGGGAGGGCAGTCAGAGGCAATGAGGCCAACTGGGGAGCAGTTAGGAGTCAATCAGGCTGGCAGTGGAGTGGTTAGGGGGTGATTAGGCTGGCAGGCAGAAGCAGTTAGGGCCAATCAGGCAGAGGCAGGCAAGTGGTTGGGAGCCAGCAGTCATGGATTGTGAGAGCGATGTCTGACTACCCACTGAGATCGGGCCTAAATGGGCAGTTGGACATCCCTCAAGGGGTCCCATATTGGAGAGGGTGTAGGCTGGGCTGAGGGACACCCTTCCTCCATGCATGAATTTCGTGCACCAGGCCTCTAGTACAAAATATAAATTCACTAGGCTCATATACCTAATGATAATATCTCTCATTGACATAAGATTAATTCTTCTCGACCTGATTTATGTCGAACAAGTGAGTTTCTGATTAATTCCTACATTAAATCTTTTACTCTTCCAGAATGTTAATTTAAAGATATTAATATTCTTAATTATTGCAAAGTTGCATTACTGTCTGTAAGTTTTCAAACTGGAATTTTGATTTTTATATAAGCTTTTGATGAGATGGCTAGAATGATCTAATCTTACTGAATCTAATCAACTCTCAGTAAACTATTACTAACCCCACATTGCACTGACCTCAAACAAGTAAATAAGTCCTCTATAAATAGCAAGTAATTTGAGCAATATTTACAAAATATTGTTTGTTTAAGATCATTGGTAGTAACAATTGAGCATATGAAAATAACTTTATCATTACATTGAAATTGATTTACTTCTCTGTAATTTAGGTAATATGCATATTTTTAAAATTGATTTGAGAAAGAGAGAAAGAGAGAGAGAGAGAGAGAGAGAGAGAGAGAGAGAGAGAGAGAAGAAGAAGAAGAAGAAGAAGAAGAAGAAGAAGAAGAAGAAGAAGAAGAAGAAGAAGGGAGGGAGAAGAGAGAGAGAGAGAGATTAGTTGTTTTACTTATTAATGCTGGTCATTGTGTATGCCCCAACTGGGGGTCAACTCACAACATATTGGCATATTGGGATAATACTTTAATTGAGTTACCCAGACAGGGAATAAGTCTATATTTTTTGAGACAATAGTGGAAATATACCATTAAAAATAGCTCCATGGTAGTGGACATAATACTACACAATAATCCAAAAGCACCAAAGTCAAATTTGATATCTTCAACTTGCTGAATACAAGGGGTTATAATTATCACTTAACTGCTTTGTGCTACAATTACTTCTTCTGCAAAAGGAGAACATTAAATATGATGAAAATTAATATCCAAGCCAGCCCTGAAGCCCCATATCTTGTAAAATGTGAAATATAACCCATTAGTGCAAGAAAAAAATGATAAAGGACACAAAGAAAAGAGCAGAGATTTGGCCATATCAGAATAAAGATTAATTTGTCATGAATGAACTAGTCAGTTAGTCATCACCCATAGAATAGTCTTTTCCCCCAAAACAAATTCATTCATCTACTGGTCCAATCAGGACTATTATTCTCAAAAGAGTAAAATTTACAAGGATACCACAAATATGCATATGCATGAAATTTCATTTCGAACTTACATGGTAGGTGCTATGCTAAATAATGAACATTATTCTCATTGTAATGAAGTTAAATAAACAAGGAGGATGATAGCTTGTCAGAAGTAATTTGAAGAAAATAATCATGGCGCTATGAAAAAATGAGTAACATGGGGATTCCAGTTACCTTGTATTTATATCTAAGAAACTGACTAGATATATCTTTATTTGATAAAGTATAATATTCGTATGCTTTCATTTTAATGAGAAGAAATAGCTAAAATCATCCTGCCTGTTAAGCTATCATATAACTTACTTGTAACTATCCAGATAAATGTAACATAGACTTTTAAATATCATATCATCCACACATTTGTTTGCTTAAACATTGATTGTCTTTTTTGGGGCAGAGGATGAATCTCAGAGGTCATTTAATTCAATTATCTCAATAAATAAATATTTTAAAGATATAAGTAGTAAAAATATTTTTAAAAGTAGACCAATTTTCCAAAAATGCTCAATTACTTAGTGATGAAACAAGGCAAAAAATCCAAGCCTTCTTGAAATAGAGTAAACTTCACTTTTTTTTTTTTAAATTTATTATCTGTGTTTTTTTTTAAACAATTAATGCTATTCAAAGAATGGCCAACTAAAAAGCATTTGTACTTCATTAGTTTTCAAAAGACTCACTGAAAAACTGAGTTAACTAAAATTGTATGAACTTTCTCAAGATGCAAATATTCATAGGCAGGATCTTATGGGCTCCTGGAAGTTTGTGATTTAAATAAGAAACAGATGTGAAAAGATGTCTGCTAAAGAGTAAAGAGATGAGGTGTTGTGTTTTTTTGTTTGTTTGTTTGTTTTGTTTTGTTTTTTTCATTATTCTCATTGGAGAGGGTTGGAAGGTAATGATTTCTACTTTTCCAGTTAAAAAGATTTACAGGGTAATTGATATGTTAATTGCTGTTGGAATCTAATTTAAAAGAAAATAGAGAAAGTAAGACGGCATCTAGTTTAGCTATTGAGAAAGTTATGAGATTAGAATAGGAATCTCGAAATAAATATTTGCTCGAGTTTTGGGGAAAAGTTAAGGTTGAAGAGGTGAGTGAATATTTTGCTCCTTGTTGATAATAATAAACACCACTGTAAAGATCTAACAATAGGTTTTAATTTTTTAAAATTCCATTATTTTAACACACACACACACACACACACACACACACACAATTTTCCTTTTCAGTTTTCCAATCCACATCCCCATGTAAATGGTCAAGATGGAGGGGGAGAGGGGAAGAAGAGAGAGCAGATAGAGAGATGGATGACAGAAGAGGTATAACAAATGAATTAGCTGTCCTTGCTTGAACTTACTGTTAAGTTATGGAAAATATGTAAGAAGAAATGGTGGGTAGCTTGTGCCTCTAAGTAGCCATCTCTTTAGATTTCCCGCTTTCATCTCTTTAGAACCTTTATTATGACTGAAGGGAACTCAACTCACTCTAGTCAATGATGCTTCCTGGCCAGAAGCTGGCCAGGGTTATGGGAGGATTCTAGAAGCAGCGTGTTCTCCTGCCCGCTGCTGCCCACGCACCTCATTCTCTGCTCTTCCTTAGTCCTTTCCATAGGCTTAAAGCTTACTCTTACATTTCCATGTAAGGTCAATGACATGGAGTGACAGTTACTCAATTGTACCTTTCCTCATAAGTGAACAATGGATGGCCCCTCCAAAGCGATTCTGCTAACTAACCCACAAAAAGACCCTGATTCTCCCTGGCTTAGCCCTGAAGCTTCCTTCCCCCAACACACTCCAGTCGCCCTTTAGGCTCTGCATCAGTTTTACTCGCTTTTTTTTGTTTTGTTTTGTTTTGTTTTTAAGGATAAAGTGCTAAGCACCGCCTACCATCATGAGTGTCTTGTCACTCCGTCCCGCTGTGCGGTTGTGATTTGCGGGCAAGACAGTGTCGTCTGGCCCCGCCCCGCCCCGCTTCCCTTTGCCGCGCTAGCGGTTTTGGGTTTTACCCAAAGGTGGAGAGTGGGGTTTGGGCTGGCGGCGGCGGCGGCGCTTGGAGCAGGTGAAGAAGCTTTTTCATTCCGGCTGTTGCTGCTGTTCTCTCTTCAAACGTGGGTCTGGGTCAGGAAAGGACAAGATTCTTTCTCTGCCGCTAGAGCTCCAGTGAACTAATTGCCCAGAACCTGAGCACTTCATACATTTCATCTCACCCATTATTCCGCTTTCACTGTGTAAATCACCTGCACATTTGTAACCTTGTGCATGTCCCTCTGCTCAGCGCTCAGGGAAGGGTAGAAAGAGAATTGCAAAGGTTTGAAAGGCAGACGGCCTCCGCTGACCGCCGGGAGCTGTCTATGGTGCTGAAGCGTTTGTCTCCACCACTACACGGAGTTAGAGTGCTTATTTTCATTCCAGGCTTTCTCTCTTTCCCCCCATGCCTTGGATAAGACCAATTTCAGGATCGTGAATATCTCTCCGTATCATGGCCCACGTGAGACACTTTCGGACATTAGTTTCGGGATTTTATTTCTGGGAAGCAGCACTGTTACTCAGGTGAGTCTGTTTGTATTTAACAGTGGGAGAACTTATTTTAAAAAAGCCTGTGTACTAGAATGCAACCACCTGTTATTGATGAGACCAAGAATGCAATTAGAAATTGACTTGTTGAGAGCACTCCTTAAATCTTACTATTTTATGTCTAAAGTACCTAGCAGTCTATCTATTGAGACCTCTGAAAATATGTAACTTTGCTCTATTTTCTGAAAATAATGCATTTTTAGTAACTGTCGTCTTATATTAGCAGCAACTGAGATTACCCTGGAAAAATTATTTCCAAAGCCAAGTTATTCCTTCTCAAATTGCTGTTAGAGATTCATTTTTTCTAAGTAAATTATAAGTTGTGGGTTATTCTCTTTTGGGAAGTTAAAAACATTTACTAATTAGAAATGGAACATTACTAACTTTTAAAAGGAAAACAATTAGAACATAAACATTTACTAACTAGAAAAATTCTGAACATTGTTGATATATCTAGAGATTAAGGTAAGTGAATAAAAAATAAAGGAAGAAGTGCTATTCCTAATGAGCTTAGTTTAGGTAATAAATGGAGGCAAAAATATAAATAAATAATTAGATAAGTTATATGTCAAGAATAATCTCCTTGGATAAAGTAATATAATAAAAAATCCATAGAACAATAATATTGCTCTATTACATCACACTTTCTTATCATGTCCAATCATATTTGGTAGGCCTCATTTTTTCTTTTTAATTATTTTAAAGAGGAAATGAGACTAGGCAAAAGATGAGATAATTTAACCATTATTCTTAACTGAACAATGTATAAGCAATATATTGCTCATATAGATTTTTTTAAACCATCAATATACATTTCATTTTGTTATAATTTCCATCTTATAGCTTACAAGCTTTACAAGAGGATTGAAATAAAAGTAATTAGAATAAGTTTTGTGTATACTGATTTCTATTGAAGTAGTAACTATTCTTTTCTGAGTTTCCAGGTCAAAATTTCATCTTTGGACAACTTAGAAAAACATAATGTATTTAATAAAAGCTAACTTACAGAAAGCTATATTATTTTGATAAGCCTATAATAATAAGGGCCAGTTGTGAAGGTTATTATATTATGAAATTATTGACTTTTTCTTAAAGTGTTGAACCACTGAAAACCAGAATATTTTCAGTGAGAATATTTTAATAAGACTCAGTAAATTTTTAAACTTTCCAATTGTCACAGATTTTATATATGGTGATCAAAACAAAGGGTATAGAGCTTTTTTTACATTTATGGAATTTTCATGGAAAGGAATTAATATTATAAGAGAAACCATAATAGCTTAATTAATAGATATTCAGGTTTAGGAAGCTTAACATCAATAATTAAAATATTTTGGTCAATGTGGTCAGATTTGTATAATGGCAATTCACCATATTTATTATAATACATTCTTTTCTGTTTTGTTATAATATATTCTTAGTTATTTATTATTCTTCATCACAAACTCATAATCATGGTTATAAGAACTTATTTTCATTAATATTAAATACTTTAAGTTAAAAATGTTTTTATGAATACTCTAAAAATGTAATTCCTTGAAAAAGACATACCCAATACAGAAGTTTAATCAACATTTGTATTCTTCCTCAAGTTTATTTTTCTCCTTTCATAAATTGAATAAGTTTTCTATATATCTTAGACTAGTCTTGAATGAGAGTAGCACTTTTTTTTTATTGATTTACCTTCATCATTCTATGAAGAACTTTAATAATATAGAGAAAAATGAAATATTTTTATTTTCATTGATAGCCCTTGAAAGAAAATTTTCTAAAATAAAGTGAAGCTCCCTCTACTGAAATTATTTTATAAAATAAGTATTTTTATGGAAGCTGTTCTTTGTTCACTAAGTCTACTTATGATATGCTGAGCAAAAAAAGAAACATGTAAACTTAAAAAAGTAACAAAAGTATTTAGTATTAAGAGACCATGATCAAGATGTGGCATTGCCAATGTAACAAAAGCCCTCACTCTGCTCTCTGTCACCACAGTATTCTTTCCCAGGAACTACTTTTGCCAAAGATAATTGCTACCTTGACTTTTTCAACAATGAATATGTTTTCCCTGCTTTTGAACATTATATAAATACTCATGTGTGTCCATTTTATTTTATGAACATTATGTTTATGTGATTTTCCATTTAGTTGCATATAGCAATAACTTATTTATTTTCATTTCTATATGGTATTTCATTATATGAAGACATCACTATTTGTTGTTTTATTATGGAATATTTAAGTATTTTTTAGGTTTTGGTTAGTGCTGTGATGAACAACTTTGAGCATATCTTTTTGTGAATACATTCATTTTGGGGGCCATATGGGTTGGGTCCAAGTCTTTATCTAGAGCAAAAATTGTTGGATCAAGGGGTAGTTTAGTATATATACTGCCTGGTTTTAGCTTGAGTAGATACTGCAAGCTTTCCAAAGTAGTTGCACCTATTTATACTCCTGCCAGCAATGTTTGAGAGTTTTTGTTGCCCTTACTACTACAAAATATGATCAGTGAAATATTATTTTAAAATTTTTAGCATTTTCTTAGGTTATTATTATGAGCCCATAGATGATATTTTAGTTATTTTTATCTTGAAATAATTTCTACTTTTTAGTAAATAAGTTTTATTAAGTTGAAGACATCAAAACAAAAATATTTTCTACTATAATGCAACTAGAAGTATTTATTACCAGAGTAAGTCTGGTATAAGAAATATAATTTTAAAGGGAATTATTAAAAAACATAGTTCTTGTAATAAAAATAAATGAGAAGCCTGGTTGGTGTGGCTCATTGGTTGAGTGTTGACCCATGGATGTTCAATTCCCAGTCAGGGCACATGCCCAAGTTTTGGACTCGATCCCCAATAGGGGTGTGCAGGAGACAGCCAATTGATGATTCGCTCTCATCATTGATGTTTCTATCTTTCTCTTCCTCACCTTCCCTCTCTAAAATGAATTGAAACATATTTTAAAAAATAAGTGAGAAAATTATGTAAACAGGCATAAGAAATTTGAATGCCTTATTAGTGAAGTTTTTAAAAGTTACACACTTTTCTCAGATATTGCTTAATTTTGGCACAATTCTTCTATGGGTTTTGGATTCTAGTTTTCATATTAATAAAATAAAGAACAAGACACCAGTGTCCAGCTTTCTTTGAAATGTAGATGAGGGAGATTATGAAAAGCTTGAAGAACAAATTTCAAAAATAGGGGAAATGCCAAAAAGTTTTATTTAAATTAACTATTTTCACCACATACAATTTTGTTTTTTATCTTTATTGTTTGATACCAACACAGACCTGCCAGACAAATAAATTATGGTACAGCTATCAAAAGCTGAATGTGTGGATGTCAGACTTCATGATAATCACAAATACTATGTTTTCTTAGTTTACCTCAAAATTTAAGAAAAAAATTTTTGGCACAAAATTTTTTGTTTTTGCTTTTGGTATGTTTTAGAGTATGGAAAAACTCTTTTTAGTGCTGGCTTTATTTTCTTAGTAAGATATTAAGTAAAAATATACTTGAAGGAATAAACATTACAGTATTAGGATTCTATATAGATTTTTAATATTATGCTACACATAGCATGTACTTTTTCCCTCTATGTCTCTGGTGATACATTTCCTCAAATATAGAAGGATCATGGCCTAGTTTTCTAGTCAATGCCTCAAGCAGTTTGCCTGCAGATTCATAAAATAGCTTATACAATATTCCCTCTTAAATATATTTTTTCTTTCCCTTGACCACACAAGTAGGTACCGAGGCAACTCAATCAACAAATATGTATTTCATAGGTATTATTAAGCAATGGGTACAGTTTGCCTAGGAATGATTGAGAAATTACCATATTTCCTGACATGAAACTTAGAGTCCAGTAGGGAAGAAAATACAAAGGGCCAACTGACAAAAGAAAAACACAGCAATGTTTAGGGAATGTAAATTGGGAAGCTACCCAGAAAGCTTAGTACTTGTGCTGGATCTTCTAAGGTGCTTGCTCCACCTGCAGAAAATAAGATCTATGTAATAAAGTTAAAGAAAAATAAAAAATATTAAATACAAAGGAATGATATAGGCTTATAGTATGCTTAGGGAGTGGTGATGGTCAAATTCAGTTGAGGGAATTCCAATTTATGGTTTAAAATCATATTCTAATGGCAACAATTGTTGAACTGGTTACAATAATAAACCTATAGAATATGGAGGAGTTACTACTTGCTTTCACAATGGAATATGTGTAAAATTTAGAAGCATATAATTTTAACTAGAGGCCTGGTGCACAAAATTCGTGCATGGGGTGTGTCCTTCAGCCCAGCCTGCACCCTCTCCAATCTGGAACCCCTTGAAGGCAGTCAGAAATACCTCTCACAACCCAAGATTGTTGGCTCCCAACCACTTACCTGCCTACCTGCTTGATTGTCCCTAACTGCTCTGCCTGCCAGCCTGATCATCCCCTAACCACTCCCCTGCCAGCCTGATTGATGGCTAACTGCTCCTCTGCCAGCCAGATTGCCCCTAACTGCCCTCTCCTGCTGGCCATCTTGTGGTGGCCATCTTGTGTCCATATGGGGCAGCCATCTTTAACCATTTGGGGGCGTCCATCTTGTGTGTTGGAATGATGGTCATTTTGCATATTACTCTTTTATTAGCTTGGATTACAACAGGATATTTATAATTATTGGGAAGGTTTTGCATATTGGCTCAAAATATTTCTGTAAACTCTTCTCTTTCAGAGGTGCAATTTACCTCAAAATTGCAATTAACCATAAGCTAGCTAATAATAATTAGTAATAGTAAGAGCTATGTAAAAAAATAAAAATAAAACTATATGAAGAAAGAATAATCTTTTTATTTTATAATTTGGAGACCATGTTTGAATCTTTCATCAAAATAAGATCTTTTATCATATTTATTCCCCCACCTTTTCTTTAAGTCTATTACATAGATCTTATTTTTCTAACAATTTTGAAAAAACAATTAAAATT